TTTCCCCCCCCCCCCCCCACCTAATTCATGTAAAGTTTAGAAGTTTAACCTCCCCCATAGTATCTAATTATACACAAAAGATGTCCCATACTTGTACTTAATACACCTTCTCCCTACTCATCGACGAGCTTTATCAATGTACATTATGTAAATTCAATCCACAACCTCGAGATCTCAAGTTCAGAGAGTCATCCCTGTATGTAGATATAAGTGGAAGATATATTGCAGCTTATATGTATGTAAAATAAGACTCAAAATCATTGGGACAGCATAGGATAATTGTCTTCAAAAGGCATCATATTTTGCAGTTTTTTTGTTCTGGTTGGAATATAAACCCACAAAACCTTCTTTTCCTTCTCCTTGTATGATTGATTTTCCTGGGATACTTATCAATATATGCAGTTAAGCCAACTAGTTTACAAAATTATGTACAAAAATGACCCAAAGTATACACACCCAATACGTTGTGTACATATTTTGTAAATTATATCATCCAAAGGCACTAGGGTGTAAGTTCCTGTAAATAAAACGTCCTTAAAAGGAAGCGATAAAAACAGTAACTTATCCATCATACTTAACAGTAATCCAGCAACAACCTTTGGTTTCATTATAGCATTTAACTCGAGATGAATCCTGATCATTTTTTCGACTACACTCAGCAATTCTATGATCGAAACAGAGGTACATTACAATTATGCCAAAACTAACCATTTACCTGACTTTGACAGTAAAGCAAATTAAACAAAAAGATGCACTTTACATGAAACTTTGTAAACATATACATCCATTATCGCGATTTAAGAACGGCTCCTTCCACAATTTTCCAACCGGAGTTTGCCCAGGACATGTCGTACCTAGTTGTATAGATAGTACTGTATGAGTCATTGTTCTCCGGATGGGCTACATCAGTTAAGCTTGCTGATTCCTCCAGAGTAGCTTCCACAGTAGCACGTCGGCCATCAGCTGAGACAGTCACACTGTCAATGGCAAGGTTTAAAAGCTTGTACTCCCAAAACCAACCATGCTGCGCAATTTCTGTTGCACGGTCTGTCCAAATCTTCAGCATCTGACCATCCAAAACCTGTCATTTTGAACAATGTTGTCAGGCAAAATACAAAGATGACACCAGAAATTGATAAGAGGTGGATAAGCTGCATTTGGACTACAGCAAACAAAAAAAAAGATGCTGGGTAGTTCCTCATGGAGCAACTAAACAATTGTTTGTCTAGTACTTGTACAGCAAAACAACTCGTGTTGAGCAGCTGAATTCTACAAGAAATCATTTGGCTCTTACAAACAGTTGTGCATATGGCATTTTGCTATAAAGATAATATCATAACATTGTATAGAAATTGAAATAGAGCAGCTAACACACAATCCTACCCGTTGCTTTGGCAGGAAGTAAAATCCATTAAGAATTGTCTCAAGGCATTCAGGTTCTATTGCCTTTCATGTCATACTAGTGAAACATAATCAACACTATAAAAAGAAAGGCATTACATATTCATACCTCTGACAATCTGTTGAGACAGTGATCGGTTCCAAGAGACTGGGACTTGATATTCTGCCACTTCCGAACTATACTTTCTGCAAGCCTTGCATCCATTCTAGGAACCTCAAGAGGATTTTCAACTGGTGAGGCAGAGGCATCTGCAGTAGCAGATAAAATTTCTGAAATTCAGAAGAAAGGGAAGGTTGGAGAAAGAAAGCAGAACTGAAACCCTCACAAAAGAATTTAAAAGAACCCCAGACTCAAGAAAATATAATAATAACAATAACAGAAGAAGATAATTTTTATTAGATAGCTGTACAACTACCACTTGTAACAAATTATTAGAAATTTTCTCTCGAATCCAGGTCGTTGAATGAAGCAGCAGAGAAAAGAAAAAGAGCATGGCTCCATAGGTCATATTTGGCGAACCCCGAGAGTTATTTAGAAACTAAAATGGTCAGTGAGTCATACCCACATTGATGACATCCGAGGCAATGGCTGAACCAGTAGCACTAGCACTATGTTGAACTGAAGACCCATGTCTAAAGGAAGAAAGCTTCAATCCAACCAAAGTCAAGAACCCAATCGCTACTCCAGCACACATAATCTTCACACTTGCATCTTTTATTCTGTCAGTTATCACATCTTGCTCTTGATAGTTAGAACTCTTTCTCTCAGGATCCCCAACAGTCGTGATAAAATTATTTTGATCACGGAGTTCTCCAAGATCCTCAAATGGCTTGGCAATATCAAATTCGTTCATCTCATTGTCGCCATATCGTCTTACGCTGCCTTCCCCATCACCAGCAGGAAAAACTTTCTGTAATGCCTGAATTGCACTGGCCTTAACACTATCAAGCACAGCTGTAGCTTCAGCTCCAATCCTTGCAATAGCTGCAGCAGCAGCTAAAGGTGAAGCACCACCACCTTCCAGCCTTTCCAAATATCTTAAAACAGTAGGGTCATCATAATAGTCTCCAAGCTTGAAAGTGACATCTTCTGTCTCTCTAAATCTGGGAAAGACTACTTCCATCAACCAAGTCTCCAAAAGCTTACATAGTCCAGGGAGCAGATCATTTTCGTTGTCATCCTTCGAGTGTTCTGCAACAAAAGTCACTATAGATGGATCTCTATAAGGGGAGTCCTCACTGTCTAGGCCCAACCATGAGCGACATCCATCAACTTCTCCAACAAGCAGTGAACAAAGGCCCCTCTCCAAAGCGAAGTCTATTTCACGGTTTTCTCTAACAGTGTAGACAGACACAGAACTGCCGTAAGCTGTAACTTTGGTCTGCTGAAGCTGCTGAAAAAGGTTATCAGCATCTTGAATGAGATGAGGTTTTTTTCCAACAAAAGCTTGAGCAACAAGTGCAAGCGCAACCCCATAAACTTCAAAGCTTTCTGCAGGAATGTTACTTGGCGTTGCGACGAAGAGGTCCACCTTTTAAAAAGAAGAAGAGGAAAATGAAGAAAAGGAGTGAAACGAACAGTTACAAAAGAAACCAAAAATATATGAATGAAGTTAAGCCAACCTGTTCAGAAGCTGTCATCTGTAGGAAGGCCTCATTCATGAAATCTTCTCGTGTGAACCCCCCTGAAATTGCAGCTGCTCCTCCTCCTCCAACAGCCCACAAAATATTGCGCACACCTTGAAGACCCTCTGCTCTTTTCATTCGGTATTCATCACCAAGAGGAAAAGCTAGAAGTTCAAGTACGTAGCGTGGATTTATCTCTTCCAACGTCTCATCTATCTGGGATTGCAGATCAAGGGCAAGATTACTTGCACCTTCTTCCTAGAAAATGAAGGCAGAAAGTTCCTCATTATTTGCTCTTCACTGTAAGCTTACAATTCTCCCCAAAAAAGGCATGCATCAGCATTCAAGCAGACGAGAGGGAAAGAAATAGTGCACAGGCACACACACCATACACACAAACATTACCAAAAACAAACAATATCTAAGACTATTGAATGATGAATGACCAAGAAGAGCGCTACAGACGAGAGGGAAAGAAACAGTGCACAGGCACACACACCATACACACAAACATTACCAAAAACAAACAATATCTAAGACTATTGAATGATGAATGACCAAGAAGAGCGCTACAGACGAGAAGGGAAAGAAACAGTAGCAACAGGCAACACACACCATACACAACAAACACTTAACCAAAACAACAATATCTAAGACTATTGAATGATGAATGACCAAGAAGAGCGCTATACTCATTAATAGGTAAATCAAAATGAAGTTAGCAATCAGTACAACGATACAAACCCTCTTCCACTACTAGAGTAGTTTGTTAAGAGACATTTGCAGCTGTAAATAAGCTGTAGTCATAGTGCATAAACTAAAGAAAACAGCTATTTCCATGTGTGTTCCCTTTATAGAATTTCAAATATACCATCACATTCACTCTAACTTACTCATATCATCAGAAGTCACTATACCTGTAACAGCTTAAGTGCTCTTTCAAGCAGTTCACAACCTTGAACAAAATCAGGAGGTGAAAGTGCCATTGCATCTCGCGAATGGTCAACATATGCGAGTGCCATAGCCAAGACCACATCTTGCTTGAATGACTTTGGCATCCGCTCTTTCAGCAAGCTTTCCCCAATCTGAAGAACTACTTCAGTCTCACCAGCTTCTTGCAAAACACACATTGCTCCCGGAACCTGTAAAAGCCATGACATTCTTTTAAATTCTTTGCATCCCACTAAAACTTTAGAATATTTAAGTTTTATAACCAACCCAGGTACAACTTTTATTACACTATCAGTTAGTTATGCATTGAGAGC